ACACTTTGTTAATTGGGATCAATGGCAACTTTAAGGAATTAACATATCTATTAAAGTTTTGCTCGATTATTCTTACTAACATCATCCTTCTGGAAAAGTTCACTTAATTAAGAGGGAAGCCTTTGTCTTGGTAATGATTTGCAGGTCATGCCACTGCCTTGCTCAGGCCCTAATTATTTCTTAACTAAATTTGGAAAAAACAGCTTCTGCCTTTGGGGCTCTTCATCCAAACTTCCAATCAGATCCTTTATCACTGCCAAAGTTGTTGTTTTAAAAATAAAACTCAAATCTGTTCCTATGACTCATTCACTTAAAACTCTTCAATAATTCTCCCATAATCTCAGAAGAGAGCCCAAACCTTTATCGTCTGCATTTGGTCCTTTATGATCTGATCCTGCTTTTCTCCAGTCTCATCTACTACACCTTGGCAAAAAACTCGGTTCAGCTAACACCCAACTTTTTGCTATGTCCTAATCTCTTTCTCATTTCTATCTGGTTGACATGCTATCTTTCTATGTGGAATGCCTCCCCCTACGTTGTCTATTTGGTGATCTTCTACTCATCCATCTTGCCTTCTCCGTGAGGCTTACATAAGCATCTGTGATCTAGGCTAGATGATTCTTATTTTGGGTTCCCATAACAACGTTTCCATATCTCAATTATAGCTCTTATCATCTTGTGCTAAAATGGCCATTGCATGGCCAATGTAATGATTAATAGCCATTAAAATTACATACGTAAGATTATTTACTTACAAGGAAAGATGTTAATAACACATTGTTGACTGACAAAAAGGTTAAAATGTATGTACCCTATGACTCCAATTTTTGTTAAAAAAATATATATATATCTACATATATGGATAAAAATCTCATGTGTATTCCCAGCCTAGATCTGTACTTAGCTTATAAGCCATATTTAAATAACATTGAATGAACCTAGCATAGAGGTTTGCCATTAAAGACAGTTAGGTGATGTGCTCACTGACACTGTGTCTTGGCCCATGAAGGGGTCATGACTACATGAGTAGGACTAGCTATTGCTTAACCAAGGTGAAAGTTTAGATAAGCCAAAGGGCTATCTGCCCATCCTGTTCAGTCTGACATTTCTTTATGTCTGTTTCCCTAAGTATGTTCTGTTGAATCCTTGTCCTAAATTATTCTTCAAAAAAGTATATAAACTTGGTCATAAACTTGACAAATGCCACAAACTCTGTCTCCCTCTTAAGGCTCCACATGCACAAAAACATCTTAAAGTATCTGAAAAGTCATGCAATGCAGAAGTGCATTTAACTTTGCTTAACTAATAATTTCCTAGACTTACATGACCACAAGACTCTTGTGTTTCATAACTTTCTTCAACATTTTGTAGAAAGACTGTCCTATGGAACACGTGTTAGGAAACACTATTCAGTATCAAGACGTTTAAGCGTAGAAGCCATGGGCTCAACATTTACCATCATTCTAATTTCTCCAACTCTGACACTGCACCCCTTTCTTCCATATGTTTTTCAACTCTTCTAAATATAGCTGCATAGAACTGCAGAGAGGAAAGTTATCATCTTGTCTACCTTTGTATTAGAAATTAGAAGATGGAGTTCCAGACACCTTCACTGGCTTGCTTAATGCTAATGAGCCTGGTACATGAAGGAGCCTGGTTGCTCGTCTACCAGTCTCACCATGTTCCAGTGTATCCAGGCCCGCCCTCTCCACGCCCAGTGAACTGCCTCAGCACTCAGTGCACTTCAGCTGTATGTCAGCTTATGTATGTCCTGAATGTTGACAGTATTAACTTGGGTATGAGTAATCTTTGCTTTGTTTGCATGTCTGTTTCTTAAACTCTACAGTTATTTTTTAATTCCCCGATCAGGTACTAGTTTCTCAAAGGAAATAATTTTCAATTCTTTATCTGAAGCATTTTTTTTTTTTTTTGGCCACGCCGTGCAGCATGTGGGAATCTTACTTAGTTCCCCCACCAGGGATCGAACCTGCACCCTCTGCATTGGAAGCATGGAGTCTTAACCACTGGACCACCAGGGAAGTCCCTATCTGAAGCATTCTGATGGAAACAACTAAAAGTTTCCTAAGAAGTGGCCACTAACAATTTACATGAGAAAATCATTAGCAAATAGAAAAAAAAATACAAATAATGAATATACTTAGGAAACTATTTAATTCAATTAATAAGCAAAGAAAGGTAAAATATAACCAAACCAGATAGTATCTTTTCATAAAATTTGTCAAAAGAATTTTTTATCGTTATCCAAGATTGTCAAGACTGAGGTGAAACAGGCACTTTCGTATTTGTCCTAGGAATTATGCAGCTTGGAAAATATTTTTGTATGGAAATTTGGAACCTGTCTGAAACCTTAAAACCCTGCCTGACGTGTTTTTGACCCATTCTGTTGATACCTAAAACTTATATTTGATTATTTACCCAGTGTAACGTGCACAAATAGTATCACACAGATATTCATCAGGGTATTTTTAATGGAGTAAATTGGAAAATAGCTAAAAGGCAAAAAGAAGCATACTTTGACCTCAGGTCAAACAAACTACAAATACAATGTGTATTCCCAGCTTAGATCTATACTTAGCTTATAGGCAATATTTAAATAACGTTGAATGAATACATTGAAACAAATCTGGAAGTACATACGGCAAAATGGTAACACTGATTGATTGGTGGTGTGACAGAGCATGTTTTTCTTTGTTCGTTTTTTATATTTCTTTTATACAATAAACGCACGTAAGCTTTGTAATAAGATTTTTTTTTTTTTTTGCGGTACGCGGGCCTCTCACTGTTGTGGCCTCTCCCGTTGCGGAGCACAGGCTCCGGATGCGCAGGCTCAGCGGCCATGGCTCACGGGCCTAGCCGCTCCCTGGCATGTGGGATCTTCCCGGACCGGGGCACGAACCCATGTCCCCTGCATCGGCAGGCGGACTCTCAACCACTGCGCCACCAGGGAAGCCCAAGTTTTTTTTTTTTTTTTTTTTTTTTTTAGTAATAAAACCAGGGACTTCCCTGGTGGTGCAGTGGTTAAGAATCCACCTGCCAATGCAGGGGACATGGGTTCGAGCCCTGGTCCGGGAAGATCCACATGAAATGGAGCAACTAAGCCCGTGCACCACAACTACTGAGCCTGTGCTCTAGAGCCCGTGAGCCACAACTACTGAGTCCGTGTGCCACAACTACTGAAGCCTGCGCACCTAGAGCCCGTGCTCCGCAACAAGAGAAGCCACCGCAATAAGAAGCCCGCGCACCACAACGAAGAGTAGCTCCCACTTGCCGCAATTAGAGAAAGCCCATGCGCAGCAACGAAGACCCAACGCAGCCAAAAATAAATAAATTAATTTTTAAAAAGTAAATAAGAACACAGTTGCTCAGTTAAAATCATTTCCTAGCAAAGCAACAATCGCCATTTAACCCACTTGGTCTGAGGTGCCTCTAATGTTTAAATGAAGATGCTCACATCTCATTCCTTGTTTCCTCAGGGCTGCTGTGGAATTCTACCTGTACCAGGCCCCCACCGACAGCCAGGCTTGTATTATTGACTGTCATTTTTAAGTAGCTCAGAGTCTATGCTCAGAATTTCCTGAATGCCTAAAGAATAACTGCTCACCTGCAAACCCCATCGTGCTCAGCTTGGCAGGGCTCCCTTGTCACATATCGTATTTTCCAGGAACATTTCTGTAGAGAAAACTGGCCCCCAAGGAGCAACTGAAGCGTGTGTGTAGGCACTTAGAATTGACACACTGTGGAATGACTGGGAATTTATTTGGATAAATAGCCTGTAATATAGTCAGGGACTTCCTATAATTCTGAAGTCAATGAGGCCCTTGGTGGTTTTATTTCCCTCACTTCTGAGACAATGGGATTCACATAGACTATGGATTTATTCATTAAATGCTGAGTGTAAGAACTTGTTGTCACCATCTTCTTTTGGGACAACTGAGCATGGTTCCTCTTGGTAAGTGATATGAACACAAAATAAACATTGCCAGCTATCTGTGTTCCAATCTTCCCTGTGAGCAACTGTAAGTTTAGCTGCTGCTGTATTCAAGTAAGCTTCTGCTCAGAAAGTAGTAAGATGCTTGGGCTGCAGTATTTCACTGTAGGATGCTGTAATGTCAGGAACCCGCACCAACACATTCCAGAACTCCTATACTATGTGCTCCAGAAAAAGAGGCACAAAATTCCTTCCAGTGTGTGAACTCTGGACCTAGAGAATTTTGGTTTCGATAATTGATAACTTTTTATCTTGAGTAAGTACCTTAACCTCTCTGAGCCTTGTTTTTCCATCTGTAAAAAAGGGAAACTGTCAGTAGCCATCTCATAGGGTTGTTGTGAGGAATACATTCTATCATGTTTGAAATGTGCTTAAACGTGACTAGGAAAAAGAAACTTTCAAAAAAAGTGACCAGCATATCTTAAGTGCTCAAAATGTGAATTCCTTTTATTATCACAACTGTCATCACTATCACGATGATCACCCCAGAGAAGGGGATCTAGTTTTACTGTCTCGGCTGTGTTTCAGTTGACATTTCCAGCCTCAGTTAAATGCTGTAGGAAAAAAGAAACAAACCTAGAGAGAGGCAAAGCAAGGTAGAAGGAGGAAGTGAGGGGAGAGCTATGGGGAGGAAAGGACGGAAACAAAAACAGAAATATCAACGCCATTGAAGTTGTCTCAGGTCCTTGGGTAGCTGACACCTACCTTAAATAAGTCAAAGGGCAGAATTTGGAGGGAGGGTGTTAACCAGCTAAACATTAGCCAGATGGCTACAGCAAGTTATTTTGAAGTGGGACGTATTCTCGCAGCGACGCATACCTCTTCAGCTGTGATTGTTAATCACGTAGCCAGATTCTCAGTAGCTCCACGTTGTAAGCTCATCTTCTTCACTGGTGGTGGGGGATGGTGATGTTGATGATGACGGTGGTGATAGCAGTAGTAGCTGTCAGTTACTGAGCCTCTATGTTGAGCCACACACTGCATTTTACAGGTGAAGACATTAAATATCAGGTGGGAAAACCAGAAATTAGACGGCCTCTGGAGAGACCACACAATGGATATACACGTGTGCCGGTATGTTTCCAGTCCTTGGATCTTTCTGCCATAGCACTCTGTCTCTCTTTTCTTCCCTGCAGGTTAAAAAAGTAGTTGGTTTTATGGTCCTCAGAATTTGGTAGATTGTTCTGCTGTCAAGTGCATGAGAGCAGGGGAATGGGGCAATGAGGATCAGATTACTTTGATCTTAGAGGGCATGCAGGTTTCTTACCAGAAACTTCTCACTTATGCAGGACACAAACACTGCATTTTCCTGCTACTTCAGTTTCCCAAATATTAGGAGTTCAGTGGGGATCCTTTCAATGAGAAGCTTCTTGCTGCCTCTACCAGGTCAATTCTCTAGAGATTCATATAACCCAAGCTAATTTGTCTAAAACAAATACAATTAAAAGTCAGTGTGCCTAAGAGCATTTTTGGTTATAATATTTTTTACTGAATAATATTAATCACTTTCAGTATAGTTCTCATATGATATGAGGTATGGAACCCCTTTTACATATTCTTCCCTTTTTAAAGTACTTTTCTGTTGGTTTTCTTTTTTTTTTTTTTTTTTTTTTTTGCGGTACGCAGGCCTCTCACTGCCGTGGCCCCTCCCGCCGCGGAGCACAGGCTCCGGACGCGCAGGCCCAGCGGCCATGGCCCACGGGCCCAGCCGCTCCGCGGCACGTGGGATCCTTCCGGACCGGGACACGAACCCATGTCCCCTGCATCGGTAGGCGGACTCCCAACCACTGCGCCACCAGAGAAGCCCACTTTTCTGTTTTTCTTATCAAGGATCCCAAGCTTTAGCCCAACTTATACACATTTCTGGGATTTAGATGTCTGCACATGTCTTGCAAATAGGTTGAGAAGTACAAATCATATTATTTGCTTAAATCTTGAAGATGTTTCCTGGGAGAAAATTTATCCTGAAAAAAAAAGAAAGTAGCATGATTCAGGGACAAAAGTACTAGCCTAGACACTGGGGGAAAGGACTGGCTGTTTTTCCACTTTGAAACCCAAATTATAAATCATTGCTTATTTAATTAGTGCTAGATACAATTGTTTCTAAAGGTCAATCAGTCAAACAAGTATTTATTGCGTAATTACGTGCTCAGTATGTAATTAGTGCTATAATTGGGTATGTGTAAAACGTGATAGCTAGCTACTCCATTTGTTCTTGGTTTTTGTATACCCAGAATCCAGAATTGTGCCTGATTTATGTACATGATCAGTAACTAATTGATGGATAAGTTAGTGAGTGAACAAATGGATGAATCATACCCTCGTTGTGGAGACAACACAAATGAAAAACAGCAGCAGTCTTTAGAGAAGAGAGAATGTAATTTAGTACTGAATTATGCATAGTGTGGTGGACTGAGCTGATACTTGGGTTCCATTCCTACCCTGTCTTGACTTATTCAGTGACCATGGATGTTACTAAAATATGTGACGCCTAACAGATTTCTAAGATATTTTCAAGTTGTAATATTTTTTGATTTCATAAAAATGTGTTCTGAAATACCCAAGATTTCTCAGGTAGGAGGAGACAGTGAAGATTGGAACGATAGGGGAAGTCTTCCGTGAAGAGATAATATTTGATTTGGGTAGGGTTTTGGTTGGGTGGAAGAACAAGAAACTAGTAGGTTTCCTTCTGTGTAGCAGGTGCTTATACAAATATCACGATGTCAAGAGGTAGCTTAAGCACCATTTTTGTTGACAAGAGAAGAAACCAGTATCTCCAGTTGAGTTAGAGAAATAAGGATTGGAGCCAGGACAGTCACACACTAAATCCTTTGCTCTTTCCTGTGCACCCCATTAAGGAGACCAGGTGAGGGTTTGTTATATAAGCAGATCCTAGAAATTTGGTTTTGTATTTGCATTGCTTTTGCAAATTAACTCTTAGCTAGGGAAGGTTTCTCACCAAAATGAAGTTTTGTCGAAATTTCCATCTGTGGCGGACAATGTTAGTTGCTTCTTCAATATCTGTTCTCTCTTTCTGTTTTACTAGAGGAAGTAAATATGCCAAGTTAATAATATATGATTCCCTAGGCTCACTTGTAGCTGGGGGTGGCCGCCTGACACATTTTCCCTAGTGTGCTGTAAGTGGATGTATACTAGTTGGAATGTCTGGGAAAGCAATTATTTTCCACAGGGATGAATTCACCTCGAATATTCTTTTTGTGGTTTGTACTTTATACCTCTTACTACTTCAGATATTACCTAGAGGTAGAGCAGACATACTGTACGCATGGTGACAAAAGCCACATGCCGAGAATTACAGTACAGGGTGATAGAGATTTAGATTGTTAGCAGCGTTGTGAAACCTCTGTCCCAGCCTTGAACTACCAACTGCAATGCTTCATGTTTTTGTTTTTGTTTTGTTTTTGTGGTACACGGGCCTCTCACTGTTGTGGCCTCTCCCGTTGCGGAGCACAGGCTCCGGACACGCAGGCTCAGCAGCCATAGCTCACGGGCCCAGCCGCTCCGCGGCATGTGGGATCTTCCCGGACCGGGGCACGAACCCGTGTCCCCTGCATCGGCAGGCGGACTCTCAACCACTGCGCCACCAGGGAAGCCCGCAGTGCTTCATGTTACATGAGAAAACTAAGTAAGGATTCAGTAGCTTGCCACTAACTGTTATACCAGAGTGGAAGATAGTATATTCAGTCAATACAAGTTTCTGGTTATCTCCTCCAAATGTAACTCTGGAGATACTAAAGGAGTTGAAGAATTTTAGACTTTAACAAAAGAAAAGGGGTTGGGTACCTGTATTAGGGCTGCCATAAAAAATTTCCACAAACTTGGTGGCTTAAAACAACAGAAATTCATTCTCTCAGTGTTCTGGAAACTGGTATTGGAAGGACCGTGCTCCCACTGAAAGGCTCTAGGAAAGAATTCTTTCTTACCTCTTTCTAGCTTGATAGCACCCAACTATCCTTGGCATGTTTTTGGCTTGTAGCTGTGTCACTCTAATCTCTGCCTGGGTCTTCACATGGCCTTCTTCCCTTTGTCTCCTTGTGACTCTGTGTTGCTCTGTTCTTTCCTCTTTTATAAGGATACCAGTCATTGGATTGGTGTCCTTATAAAAAGACAAAGGATTGGTGTCCACTTGGTGGACACCAGTCACCCATCCTATTCAATATGATTTCATATTAACTTACTAATTAAATTAAGGCCCTCTGCAAAGAATCTGTTTCCCAATAAGTTCATATTCTAATGTCCTGGGTGGACATTATCTTTTAGAGGACACAATTCAGCTTATTACAGTCCTGATGAAGAATAAATGCTTAATTTAGAATGGGAGAAAGGCAGACACCACAGATAGGAGGTAGGTTGGGGGTGGGAGAGATTTCTAGTGATGGCCCCCTATTTTCTCCGTACTATCCCAAGTACAACGTCGTCAGCCCTACCACTCTGGAAGGGCATGAAAAGGGCAGTGCCTACAGTACTCAGAGGTGTTGTAGAGCAGCAGAGCAATCCTGGAACCTAGGTTAAATGTGGAGCCCATCACAGCAAATGGAGGTGGGTTGGATGGGCCTCGGGGCTGCCTCTTCTCCCCCCCCATCAATTCTTTGAGCCAGTGAATATGACACAGGTAGAAACTCTTCAAAATGAGCGGTTCCAGGGCAGAGGTATTGGGAGGTGCCTTAAGGGTCAAGGTCATCTGAAGTAGTGGGCAAATGAAGACTCACCCAAGACTGTAACATAAGAGGCTCTCTCTGGGACTTCCCTGGCGGTCCAGTGGTTAAGACTCCCCGCTTCCAAAGCAGGGGACACAGGTTCAATCCCTGGTCAGGGAACTAAGATCCTACATGCTGCGGGGCATGGCCAAAAAAAAAAGGGGGCTCTCTGACAGGCACAACACCACGCCTGATGCCATAAATTCACCTAGAAGAGCATTAACTGGGGCCTAGACTTTGCCCTTCTTCATCATGTAAAGCAAAACCAGCTTGTAACCCCTTTGTCTATAAACTCTTGAGGACAATAGTGAAGAGGGTACGAACTATGAGAAGAAGAAAACAAGATATTAATCTATGCATGAGAGCACAGAACTAGTAAGCCAGAGCGAACGAGACTCTTCTCAGGGAGGAGAAAACTGATGATTATTGGAAAGAGAAAGAGTATGAAGATTGTGAAGAGGAACCATTAGGAGAAAATGGGTATAAAACCTATAATTATTGAAATAAAGAAGTCAGTGCCTGGATTGAATCCTAGATCAAATACAGCTGAAAGATGATATAGCAAATTGGAATATCAAGTTCGGTATCTCTCCTGGAAGATACAGGGAAGAAATAAAGATTTGGAAAAAATGAGAGGGAAAAAAAATACAAAGGAGTGAAATGCATCACTATCTTTCTAAAAAAGCCCCAGAATGAAGAAAAAGTAGTTAAAAGGAAAGAATGCCTGAACTTTTCCTTAAATCATCAAGAGATGTAAGAGCTTATTGAAGGGGCTTATTGAGACACCAAGAAAAAACAAATCTAGACACATCATAGTGAGATATTTGGAGGAAGTACTCTTGGCATGTGTTTTGATTGGCTAAATTTATCCCTTTTCTCCCTCTTGTCAGTAGCAAACTATATATATTATAGAATTCGGCAAAGCAAAATATTCACCCTACCAACCTCTCTTGCAGCTAGGAGTGGCCATATAAGGGAGTTCTATATCATACTCTAAATGGCTGCTGTGGCACCAACCATCCTGTACAGCCCAGGAAGACAGTCAATAATACTGTAATATGTTTGTATGGAGACAGATGGTAAGTAGACTTATTGTGGTAATCATTTCTGCTGTATAAAAATATTGAATCTACAGTTTACACCTGAAACTAATATAATATTGGATGTCAATTATAATTTTTAAAAACTTCGGCTCTAAAAGAAAAAAATGATAAATTGGACTTCATCAAAATATAAAAAGCCTGTTCTTCCAAAGACACAATTAAGAATTTGAAAAGTCAAACCACTGATTGGAAAAGAAAATACTCTCCATGCATCTGTCTCGGAAAGATTTGTAACCAGATTATAAAGAACTCTTAAAACTCAGTAAAAAGACAAGCAACTCACTTAAAAACATGGTCAAAAGATCTGAACGAAAACTTTCCAAAAGACACACAAATAGCCAATACGCATGTGAAAACATGTCACATGATTGGTCCTTAGGAAAGTGCAAGGTAAAACCATAGTGAAGTAACTAGTTATTTTTAACTAAAGTTAAAAATATTTGAAATCTCAAGGCTGGCAAGAACGTCCAGCAGCTGGACCATGGATGCATCACTGGTTAGAACGTAAAATGGTAAGAGCACTTTGTAAAACTGGCAGATTCTTTTTTTTTTTTAATTTATCTTATTTATTATTTATTTTTGGCTGCATTGGGTCTTTCTTGCTGCACACGTGCTTTCTCTAGTTGTGGTGAGCGAGGGCTACTCTTCGTTGCGGTGTGTGGTCTTCTCATTGTGGTGGCTTGTCTTGTTGCGGAGCACGGGCTCTAGGCACATGGGCTTCAGTAGTTGCAGCACACGGACCCTAGAGCACACAGGCTTCAGTAGTTGTGGCGTGTGGGCTCAGTAGTTGTAGCTCGCGGGCTCTAGAGCGCAGGCTCAGTAGTTGTGGCGCACGGGCTTAGTTGCTCCATGGCATGTGGGATCTTTCCGGACCAGGGCTTGAACCCGTGTCCCCTGCATTGGCAGGTGGATTCTTAACCACTGCGCCACCAGGGAAACCCAAAACTGGCAGATTCTTAAAAGGTAAAATATACCTTTAACCATGTAATCCAGAAAGTCTACTTTGAGGTATTTACCCAAGGAAAACGAAAACCAAAACTCATACACAAATGCTCATGGCAGCTTTATTTGTTAAAGCCCCCAGAGGGGAAGAAATCTGAATGCTTGTCAGTGGGTGAGTTGATGATCGCTACAGTATATTCATTCAGTGGTACACTACTCAGTGATAAAAAACAAACTACTGATATACACAGCAACACGGATGTCTCTAAAATATCCTGTGCAGAAGAAGCCAAACGCTACAGAGTATACAGAGTGTGTTTCCATTTATATGAAACTCTAGAAGAGACAAACCTAATTTGCAGTGTCAGAGAGCACATCATTGGTTGTCTGGGGCTTACTCTGAGCCAACCCCTGATGGTACAATGGGGCACCAGAGATGAGCTTGACCAAAGCTGTTAGGTTTCCATTAATTTTGGGGCAGTTTCTCCCTTCACCCACGTCTCTGCTATAAAATGGGTAATGTTCTAAATCAGTGGGTCCCAACTCTTGGTCCATGAACTAGTGTGCTATGAAATGAGAAAAAAAAAAAAAAATCAGACAGGTGGGAAGCTTTTCAAGGTGTTAAGTTTATTCAATTGTAAGTGACTATTCATTATTGTGAAATTACCTCCTTGTAATTTGGTGTTAAAATACCTATTTATTTATGCAATGGTGACAGTCAGTGATGAAGCTGAATTTTTAATTGTCCTTGTTTGGTAAAACAGATATTTAACAAGTTTGGATATTAAAAAAAAAAAAGAAAGATGAAGATGAAGGGAATGTAGGAGAATGTCATGTTCTATCTTGATTTAGGGAAAGATATCTATTTTAAAAATCCATAAAAGCACAGGCATAAAAATAACAGGAACAACAGCAACAGAGAAACAAAATAACAAAAACTAGAATTTTTAACTACAATCAAAATAAAAGTTTTATGCTCAGTTAGACATATTATAGGAAATTTTAGCATATGGAATTTACAACAGTGAGAACTTTAATATTTAAAACATTTTAAAAAATACAAGCTATTCAGCAAAATAAGTGACATCTATGAAGATGAATGTAGTATTTGAAAGGACAGTTCACATAAGCGTACAATAAACATGTGAATTGATTCTCAAACCCACTACTAATTACAGAAATGAAAATTAAAACAACAATAAAATACTACGTTATAATCACCAAATTAGCCCAAGTTAGAAGGCAGGTAGAGGTGAGGATAGGTGGTAGAGACATCTTTCTACATGGACAGCTAGTGGGAAGGTGAAATGTTCCAATACTGGAGAGAAGCTGATAGTACCTAGTGAAATAAGTGTTACTGGACCCTATGACCCAGCTTATGAAAATCACAAGGCATGGTGGAGGAGTTTCATAGCATCACTGCTGTATTAACAGGAAATGATAGGTAACCTGAGAAAATGGCCAAGTAAAATGAGGCTTATGCATATGTGGGAAAACAGTCAGCAACCATGAGCTAGATTTACACTGGACTACATGGAATGATCTCACAAATAGTGAGACGAAAATGGCAAGAAATGTGATATGTAACAATAGTATTTATGCAAATTAAAAGCACATGTTATTAGAGAAATGCAAATCAAAACTACAATGAGGTGTCGCCTCATACCGGTCAGAACGGCTATCATCAAAAAATCTACAAACAACAAATGCTGGAGAGCGTGTGGAGAAAAGGGAACCCTCTTGCACTGTTGGTGGGAATATAAATTGATACAGCCACTATGGAGAACAGTATGGAGGTTCCTTAAAAAACTAAAAATAGAACTACCATATGACCCAGTGATCCCACTAAAACCATAATTCAAAAGGACACATGTATCCCAATGTTCATTGCAGCACTATTTACAATAGCCAGGACATGGAAACAACCTAAATGTCCAATGATAGACGAATGGATAAAGAAGAGGTGGTACATATATACAATGGAATATTACTTAGCCATAAAAAGGAATGAAATTGGGTCATTTGTAGAGATGTGGATGGACCTAGAGCCTGTCATACAGAGTGAAGTAAGCCAGAAAGAGAAAAACATTTCACATACATGTGGAATCCAGAAAAATGGTACAGATGAACCTATTTGCAGGGTAGGAATAAAGACGTAGATGTAGAGAATGGACATGTGGACACGGGGGGGAAGGGGAGGGTGGGACGAATTGGGAGATTAGGTTTGACATAAATACACCACCATGTGTAAAATAGCTAGCTAGTGGGAACCTGCTGTATAGCACAGGGAGCTCAGCTCGGTGCTCTGTGATGACCTAGATGGGTGGGATGTGGCGGGGGAGGGAGGTCCAAGAGGAAGGGGATATAGGTGTACATATAGCTGACTCACTTCATTGTACAGCAGAAACTAACACAACACTGTAAAGCAACTTTACTCCAATTAAAAAAAAGAAAATAGCACATGTGAAAAACACTCTTCAGTTTCCAAGGATACAATGTATCTAAATAACCACTTGGATGGAAGGTTGGAAGGATGGAAAAGGGGAAGGAGTGATAAAAGGGAAAATAAAATAAGAGTATGAAATAGAACCAAAAGTGATCTTTAACATGATGATAAAAGTATGATGAATTGAAAAATACGATTAATCTTATATATACTTTAAAAATTAATTGAAGAAACCACAATTAATCAGTACCTTAGGGTTCATGTGGGAAAGAGAGGGAGTGAACTATGACCAAGAGCGACCCTAATCAATCCAGTGCTGTTGTAGATCACTACACAGTGCTGTGTATTTTTGTATATTGCTTACCATTAAAGTATGCAGTGATTTTTTCTAACACCTTCTTCAGCTAATAAACTCCCGCAAGGTAGATTCTCTGGTTCAACTTTCTCCATGACGCTTGACCCATAATGTTGCAAATATTAGGCACTCAATAATATTTCACTCTTTTGATTAATAGAACCAGAAAGTTGGAATTCTGCAGAATATGGCTTCCTTGGATCCATCCTTAAGCGATTGCCCCAGATGTGTTGAAACTGCTGTATCTGCTATCATCCTTATAAAATAAATATTCTTGCCCCCTTATATGTTGTTGCCAGTTTATTTTGCATTTTGCTGGCGAGAGGATATTTCCTGTGCTAGGTGTTTTGTAGCACTTCTGCAGCTTGGTTGTGTAGTGATACATTTAGGCTCTAGTAAATTTTCTCATAAGAGTTTCAATTATTTTTGGAACATGAGAAAAAAAATTGTGGACTGTTTCTCTCACAGACCTCTTATCCGTCACCCGCCCACACCCTCTGACTTTCATTTTTCTACTATGTCCTGGATGTTTTACTTCTGTGCTTCCTCTCTCTGTTCCAGCAGTGGTCATTCGAATAGTTGGTGCCATGTAATGAAGCAGAAAAGTTAGGCAGCCGGGCTTGCACAGAGTCAAATCCTGCCTGAGCCAGTTATTAGCTGTGTGACCTTGGGCAAGTCATTTAGCTTCTCTAGCTCAGCGTTATCATTTCTAATGTAAAGAAAATGACACTTTGTTGATACAGTTTTTGTGGGAATTAAATAATAATGTTAATGTGGAAAGTTTACACTCTGTGGCTCAACTTTATTTTTAAGATTTCTTTTTGATGTGGACCATTTTTAAAGTCTTTATTGAGTTTACGGCAGCTCAACTTTTTGATGTACCCATTTTAACACTATGAAAAAGTTGATAGTCTCACGTATTTAGTGTCCTCTCCCAAAGAAATCACTAGTTTCAAAAAATTTTTAAAAATAAGCAGACAGACTTACCCTAATCCCCAGCTTATCCAATTATAAAGTCATATCATGCCTTGAGACTTGCCCCATTATTGATACCTCAATCTGTAATTTTTACTCAGATTTCTGAAGTAAGTTTGAAAGTAAGGTGAGGCTTTTGGAGAGGATGATGATATAGTTGGGCACTTTAGTGGGTAGTAAAACAAAGCTGAAAACAGAATTTATCTTTAGGATGTACTACAATGTCTCCTGAGCTAAATAAAATAGTGAGAGCTCTCA